TAATTGAGCCAAAACTGGCGGTTTGCCTTGTCATCCATTTTCACCACTAAATATTTGCTGCCTCGGTGGCGAAGATATAACATCGTCCCTCTGTAAAATTTGGGAGCGAAGAGGTGCATCAAGTGACGAAGGGTCACCTCGACCTCGGCTAACTCCGCATACTTCGAGATCATACGGATGATTTTATAGATGTAAGGGAAAAGTTGAGCCGGGCAAACTCGGTAATTGCGGCAGAACTCCTCGGCGAAGGGGAGGATAGGGAAAGAATAGCCTACATGGAAGGGGTATGCATAGAAGGCGCAGTACCCATGGCAGTGTATTTTCACCACATCATGCCCTGCAGAAATTAGGTCTATATGAGCGGGAATTTTGAATTTAACCCTAAACTCGGCAAGGGCCACCTCTTTCATCAATGACTCCGAGATCTCAGGGTCGTCCTCAGGCATCTTCGAGAAGTCAGATCTAGCCTTCTCACTATGGGGAATTATTTTCTCCACCGTAGGGAAGTTGTCATCCTCAGCAACAATGGCCGCCCTATCGTCATGGGAAGGCGTGCGCACTGCCAAGGGAACAGGATCAGATACTCCCCAGAACTAGTAGATGCATTAACCATCTTTGTGTGTTTATATGTGAAGAAGATACAAGCACGGAGGAGTCGTGAGTAGCAGAGGTCACTAGAATCGGAGAAAACAGGGATACATGAGTAAAGGTAACGAGAGCAGAAACTCTAAGTGAAGAAGGAAGGAAGAGATATAAGGATTCAATATTTGAGAATGCAAAGAATAAGTCAAAGGATCTCCTATCCCTATTTATAAGAATCCGAGCATCAGTATCGCGAAAGCAAACCGCCGATGACCATTGCAACTATCGAAATGGCAGAGGAACGGGAAATGATGCAATCCATCGGGAAAATGCGTAATAATGATGTATGATGTCGTGACATCACTTGGAATCGACGTGGCCATAAGTTACTGCTCACAAAGTGCCACGTTGCCATCTCGTCGAGAACGTCATTACTAGACCTGCTCGCCTAAATCTCCCAACCGCGACTAGCAGAGTCCGCTCACCGAGGTCGTCCGAGAGTCGGCCTCAATAAGCGGAGGGACTAACTGTATAGGCCAAAATCTGCCTCAAGAAGATTCAACATAAAGTGATATTATGAAAAGTAAATTGGCCGAGGTCGATTAGTAAACGATAGGGCTCAAAGTCGAGCAGTCAATAACGGCCGAAGTCGATTAGTAAACAGTAGGGCTCAAAGCCGAGCAATCAATAACGGCCGAGATCAAGTATCAGGGGCAGTAGTTAACGGCTAGTTTTGCAATATGATCTTTATGAGAATATCCCATTGAATATTCTCTGTACTTGTACTTTTAGGGTTAACTGGGGGTATGTCCCATATAAATAGAAGAGGAGATAAGGTGAAAGCCATGCATTATTCTCTGATAAGAACACTCTTGGGAAAGAAGACTCTCTCTCTAGAAAAAAGATATACACTACCTTTCTAAAGAGATTCGATTGTCTGTTATTCCACATTTTCCCATCAGATCCGAGAATAGTTCCAATATTCTAGTATTTGTCTATCATTCATCATTGTCAGAAGGAGGAATCATCCACCTCATTCAATATTGGATGAATCATTCTCCTTATTTACTTTAATGCCATTTATTGTTATTTATTGCTCAACGTTCTTCTATCATTACTCATCTTGAAATATTGAATGTACACCGCATTTAATCCCCTATCAATATTGTTTTACGTTATTTGTGTTAACTGATTATAGATCTGAGATCATTATCATTAGTTAGGTTTAACGCCTCATTACATAAGATTAATCAGTTTAATCAAGGATTTACACTTTTTGGTCAAACAGATATATGAAATATTTGCATCATATTTGAATATTAGGTTCTAATCATGTCGGTAGGATAAATTTCGTCTTTAAAATTTGAATCACAATTTAGTGAACTAGGTTAGCGGGACATAATTTAAAGAGGGGCCTCATGTACAAATGCTCTAGTCATATAAATTCTCACTGCTCATATAACTTCATTCATGCTTGTCGATAAAATGTAATGCATACTAGGAATATTCAAAAGGATCGTATTAATATATTTTCTCTGGTTTTCTGTTTCGACTTTGTTCGAAAAGGTAATGAAGAATCAAAGTTGAAGTTGATTCCATTACATGTAATGAAATATTACAAAAGAGTTCAAATTAAACATTGAGTTACATTATCTGCAAATATTAGAGCATTCATTCCCATATTACGAGAAACATTACTTTGATTCTTTATCTAGGGTCATAAGTGGCATGACTGAATATCTCAAATAGTACTATACTTCATCTTAACTTCCAAGCAATATATACATATGGCTGATTGAGGTCCTAGTCTATAATCGCAATATAATGGGTCTTCTTTTGAATTCATATTTTCATTATAGCTCGTAAACATGGCAATTTGTCGCACTTATGTGCGTGAAGTTAGAAAATTATTAATTAAGATGTCATGCAATGTATCATAAATGAACAATTTATATGATACATTCAAGATGCGTCATGTTAAACGTGCAATAAAAGACATGTAACTCTTATGAGTCTTATCAAAAGTTTTTGAAAAAAACATCTCTTACAATTTTCTTAATTATAGCTATCAAAGGAACATATACAACAACATCAACAATAACAAACTGAGTATAATTCCACACAAATGAGATCTGGGGATGATAGAGTATGCGTAGACCTTATACTTGTCTTGTGAAGATAAAGAGGTTGTTTCGATACACGTTATTCTATCTCTTCCTCCTTTCAGAATGGGATGATTATTATACGTAATTACAAGGTTAGTCATGCATTAAGGTTCTCGATAGCTAAACAGAAAAAGTACCATTTACTTATAAGATTTACATGATTTATAAAGTCCTCAAAGTCTAATTTTTATTTATTTAATTGACTTCTCGAAATAATTAGGTTTTACCATTTTGCACTGTTCTCCTTTTTCATTTTATTTATCTGTTGGTGGGAGAAGGAAGGGGTTGCTTGGGGAAAGATTTCATCAGCATGTTATTGCTACCAATAGAGTTTAATTAACATGCACTATCAGCATAACAACATTTTACCCTATTCAATCACTTAAAAGTAATTACAGGTAAATATTATAACATTATAAACTAATAACCCGTAAAATATAATAAACTATTTGTTATAACAAAAAAAACTATATTAATAGTACAAATTATTACATTATCGGTCTATATAAGTTATTAACAGGGTATAGTACAATGTTCATCACTTTGACAATCTACCAACTACCAAAGTTTAAAGTCATAAAAAGAGATATAATGATTAATATTTTGATATTCAAGATGGAAAATGACCTTATTTCCCTTTATCACACCCTGCATTCTTTTAGTAGGAAAGAGAGTTACGTTGTTTATTTTTGTCTTTAGAAAAGAAAGAAAAGAAAAAAGCAACGGTGAATGGATATCTCATTGCAGAATTTGTGGCATGAATGGTGGTGTAAAGAGCAACACAAATTTATTGTAAAACAATACAGGAACCTCTTTGTCTTTCTTCAACCGAAAAACTAATATAGTAAGAAATAAATGGTCTTGCAAATATGAACAAAAGGTCTTTAAAAAGTCGGAGATATTGGTGATTTGTGGGCCAATGAGTCAATAACATGTCTCGTGTTACTTCCCTATCCGTCCAAAAAATTGACCACTCACTTAATTTCTTTATTTTTAGGTAAAAGACATAAGCTAAACAATTATTTAAAAAGAGCGGGAGCGCGGACAAGACATTTTACTTATTTTAGAACGAGATATGTGAATGTAAAATTTTAAAAATGTAAAAAAAGAAAAATAAATAAATTGAATCTCTAGGCATTATATATATATATATATATGCCATATAACGTGCCCGAGATGATTGTCATACATATTGCAGCGTTAATCACAGGGACTTCTACTTACCATGGTCGTCTGAAACTTTTTAATTTTGTCTCACACTGAGTGAGCTCGAATTAATTGATAATTTTGTCTTTTAAAATATTTTCATAAATTATGTAAATATATAAGGACATCATCCACTTCTTGGCATGAAATATAACGTGTTCTAAACCTGGCCAGCTTCTTAGTTACTCCAAACGACTTGAGAAATAATATTGGAAGGGCCAACCATCACAAGATCTTATAAAGAAGGAATAAAAATAAATAGTACTGTTTATGATGAACCCGTTTGTTTTTAATTCGTATATTTTGTGAAAAAAACAGAATGAGATTATTACAAATGTAAAGGTAGTTGTAGAATATCCAACCCCCAATATTACAAATTATTAGAAACTAACAAAAAAATCGGTCTTGAGCCAAGGGTCTATTGAAACAGTTTATCTACCTTCACAAGGTAGGAGTAAGGTCTACGTACATACTACCCTCTCCATACCCCACAATGTGAGATAATACTGGTATGTTGTTGTAACAGAAAAATCGGTACTTATTATGCAACATTTTCCGTGTCTTTAATTTGTTGGTTTATTAATTATATGGTATGTAATAATAATCTAAGAATATTAAAATCAGACTTTTTATAAATACTATCAAACAAAAAATTTTGGTATATACATAGATTACTTACTGATAACACCTGTTTCATTGAATTTTCTTTCTTCAATTCGATTTAACTTTTAGTTTATTCTATCATTTATGTGACTGATTTCCATGGAAATAGAATGTTTGAGGAGATGTTAAATGCAAATAGATCTCAAAGAGAAATATTTTTCTACTCTACTAGTTTATGGCCAAATAGTAATCTGAAAAGGTTGAAATCTGTATAAGGACAATAAAGTTTTCTCAATTGATTCTTTCCATCTTTCTCTTTTTTAAGGTTTTGAAATTTTTTATATTACTAACAATTGATATATAGTACTCAAAACCGGTTTCGGCCTTCATATGATTAGTCAAGATTGAAATATAATGGACCGAAGGTCATCTTCATAATATCAGGTATGAGATCCGAAGCCAGGTTACCGAGCTCAAATTTCTGGGACCGATCAAATACCGAACTCGAAGTCATTACCGAGTTCGAATCCAAATCGAACTATGATGCGAAATGACGTCATCGAGCTTGAGAGTCAGAGACCGACCAATACCGAGCCCAAGTCAATACCGGACCCCGAGTCAATATCGGGCTCTAAATCTGGAAACAAACCAATACCAATTCTGATCAAGATCGAGCCAAGTCCGATCAAGATCGAGTCAAGGGACAAGAGTTATAGTCTCACTAAGGAGAGAGAATCTCGGCGGGAATTAGGGAAAAACTATTCTACCATGGGATCCCCACTATGTATTTTTAATTATATCTAAAATAGGATTCCTCCACTATAAGAGAGATAACTACTATTTCTGTAAAGGATTGAACATTAAGACATGCATACACTCTCATATTCAGATATTACTATTCACATAGAAATACAATAGAGATTATCCTCTTGTGAGCTTTATAAATTGATTCATCTTGCTAGTTCATAAAATTGCTTTCTAATTCAATATTGGTTCGCATTTCATTCCTTATACAGTCAATACTCAATATATTGCTACTTACTTTTCTAATTTGTGCCAAGTTATACCATGTATCCTTAGAACTACGTATAAATTAAACTCTATCCGTTTTTCGGGTAAACAAGTACGTATAAGCTCAAGGTTACCACTAAATTATTTATACCTTACATATTCTTATATTAGTAACAATTGCTTCCTCTCTTGTGTTTTTCTCATTATTAATGCAAATATTTTCTTGTAATCATACAAATATTAATTATGTAGTCGTAAGCTTAAAACAGAAAGACGACTCAATAACTTGTTTCTTCTACTGAACGTACCACAATTTAATAAGTGAAAATTGAGAATTCAAATAAGCCCCTTTTATTAATTTGGTGAGACGGAGAGCACTGCTAATACATACTCATAAAGCTAAGAGCACACTCTGCACATGATATTAATTAAGTCGTAAAGCTAAAGATGACATAATTTATGTGATTAAATGTATTGCTAATTATATACGTACAATCCCACTTCTGCAATAGATTGAAGTTAGATTCTTTTCAGTTTTCATAATAAAGTTATGTACAGATTAATTATTAAACAAAAACTGGACCAACCGTACTTAAACACGAAGCTACGTCGAAAAAGCAATTTAAAGTAATCTAAAGATTTATGTGTTATAAATTATAATGTCTGCTAAACTAATAATTTTCAGTTAGTTAAAGTGAAAAAGTACCGTTCTAGAGATATATTGAGATAGATATTTGATTTCCATTCAGCAGACATCACTACTGATCCTCGTAGAATTATTTGGAGCGAGAGATAGTGGCTTTTTTTCAAAACATATATATTGGAAATTGGCACTCAAATCATTAAATGAAAAATTGAAAAGCTTTGAGCATAAACTAATTGAGAGGATTTTACTATTAATAAAGAGCAATAGTGAGTTCTATCAGATAGTTCACGTCACTTCTAAAAACCTACCAAATATGACAAAACACTTTTGATAGGTATATGTCCAAAATGGCACTACTTCATTGCAAACGAAATTATTATTATTCAGAAATATACAATATGTAGAAACTCAAATCAGAATACCCCATACAACATATTATTATACCATATTATTAGATGATACATACGGAGGCGGAGCCAAGATTTGAAATTTATGTGTTCAGAATTCTAAATTTTTTAAGTTACTGAATTCTAAGTTAATAATTTGTACATATTCAATGAATTTTTTAAGACAAATACATAGTCTGAACCAAAGCTACTAAGTTCGGCCAAATCCGTAACTTCTACTCTCCCTCCGCAACTAGATACATACGTCAAAGAGTTCAGTTGCTACAATGTCTTAATATCTCTAAACCTGTCTAATAGAAGTGTCAATATTTTCTGTAGTGTAAACAATGAGTTGGAATATAAGAATTAAATACATTATTGACCTATTAATATAAAGATGCATGTATCCGTGATGTGATCTCTGCAATCACCAATAATTGTTCAACGGTAACATTATCTCGTGTGACCTATAAGTCACGGGTTCGGGCTATGGAATCAATTATTAATATCTTTATTAGGGTAGGCTGCCTAAATCACACTTCATATCCCGGACCCTGCGTGAATACAAAATATTTTATGCACCAGGGTGCCTTTTTTTTCATTCCAGTTAAAGATCAATTTTTACGGGAGAATTCCCATGTAAAGTAAGGCCATTTTTTGGGGGCTAAAATGTGATAATGGACCAAGTTTGAGTGGGTGTATAGTTTAAGAGGCTGTGGAATCAACCTTTAAATTGTCCGTGACATATTATCATAGAACTGGAAAAAGATTCTGCCTTTGAGCGTTAATGGGCGAGCAATGATTTACTTAATATTTATGCCCACTTTGAATCTTTGAATGGGTTAATTCGATGGAGATTTGGTCAGATGTGGGTATGATATGTTGTTTTTCTGTGCAGGTGATGCCGAGGGATCAATAGACGAATAGTGCACTTAGTGGGAGAAAAACAAGTTGAGCAAGAGGAAATTCTAGGTGCGCGGCCGCGCACAAGCGACCCCTAGCGCGCACTTGAGCGCGCAAGTGTTACAGAACTCTGCCAGAGGTGCGCAGCCATGCACGTCCGTCTCCGGGAATTCGACTCAGGCCTAATTTTGTAATTTTGGAGGCACCTTTTTGACCTAGATGAAGCCTAGCTCGTCCCAAAACAAGGAGGGAGCGGGACTTTGGAGCAACTTTTGAAGAGAAGAAGGCAAGGAAATAATATAAACTCTAAATACTACATCATTCAATTCATTCAATACGCAAGTTTGTTTGATTTTGGGGATTGTACTGTTTTCTTGTTCTCTTAATACTCTTGCGTTGAACAACTTCTCCACTATGGAGTAATCTTTCTTAGGGTTATTGACAGATATTTTGATTGACTATTGTTCTGGGTTTGCTTTGTTCATTGCCTGAATTCGTTGAATGAGTTACTAATTGAATAGCAAGGCTAATTGTGGTTTTACTTTAATCGAAAGAGAACTGTAGCTGCAATTTGCATTGTGTTATCTTATTTGGGTTGATTTTACGACTCTCATAGGTAATCAAAAGAGCTTAAAGAGTTATTAATTGGCCCAAGTTCGAAGAATAGTCGAGAAACGTTCTTCGTAAGATCATTCGTTCAACATATTATTGCATAGTTTCACAACACATATCATTAGGTTGTTTAGCGCACTCTAATTTATTCGGAAGAAGAATTTGAATCCTCCTGATAGCCTAATCATCTGTTGAAATTGGAATAATCAATAGATGTTAAGAGTGAACATAACACAGAGTTGCACATAGTAATAGTTGATCACATATCTTGTCAAAGCCTTTGTTTCTCATCTTGATATTCAATCGTTGCTACTTTATCACTAAATTCCCATTATTCATTCACAATTGAGAATCTTAGTTTTTACTCTTAAATAGTGAATTACTCAAAATCAAAGGTTGATTTTCCTGAATAGTGTTAAGTTGAAGATTTCTTTGAGCATTATGTAACCCAATTCCTGTGGAGATGATTTAATACTATACTATCTTTGACTAGCGAGCCTAAATTTTATACACCGGTTTTGCGCTCGTCAAATTTTGGCGTTGTTGCCGGAGATTGGCGATTAATAGTGTTTAAGATAATTTTCGGTGCTAATTCAGGAACAATTTTATTTTGTTTTCTTTTTTTACGCTCTTCTTATCTGGATGCAGGCAACATGTTAAGTTCAATATTGTATGACTCGATCCTCCTCCAAAGAATTGGTGCCATACAATCCAGAATTAGACAAGCACCTGCGACCGTTGAGAAGGGAGAAAGAATAGAGCGGATCATCGTTGGGTCATACCTTGAATCAAAATACAATGGTGAACAACGAAAAGAACGTGAACCTAGTTGCGAGAGAGGCAGCTCAACAACAGGCTGCATGGTTAGCAGCTGAAGCAGCCCTTAGAGTTGTTGATGAAATAGTCGCAGAGGATCAAAGATTCAATTCAACCGAACCATGGTCGAAGATGAATTTGAAAATGCAGCTCCAGGCCTGGGAGGTCTCTAGGAGATTATGCCAGACCGATATATAACCAGCGACAATCTAGTTTGAGGCCCCCACTCATTGATGCCAATAATTTTGAACTCAAACAGGGAGTCATCCAAACCATTCAGAACAACTGCATATTCAGAGGCAAACCCAATGAAGATCCCAACAACCATCTGATGGACTTCGATAAAATCATGAACACATTCTGCCATAATGGAGCATCACATGATGCCATCTATCTCAGAGCATTTCCTTTCTCACTTAAGGATGCAAAGCAGTGGTTAAGGAGTTTGCCCACAGGGTCAATCCATACGTGGGAGGAGATAACTACCAAGTTCTTAGAAAAATATTTCTCTGTTGCTAATACAGGACGAATAAGGAAGGAGATTCACAATTTCAGCCAAGAAGAAGGGGAGACAGTGTTCGAGGCATGGGAAAGATTTAAGGAGCTATTGCAGAGGTTCCCTCACAACGTAATGGAGCAATGGATGCAACTCCAATATTTTTAGGACAGGTTAAACCCGTCATCAAGGAGATTGCTGAATAGTGCGGTTGCAGGCCCTCTGATGAAGAAAACTCCAGAAGAGATTGTCACACTTCTGAATGAACTATTTGAAGACGCAGAACAATGATTCACTGACCAGGGGGATCAAAGAAGATCAACGGGGGTGCACCAAGTAGAATCTTCTGTAGCAATGCATGCCCAAATTGCAGCTATGGCTAACGACATCAAGCAACTGACGATAGCTCAGGTGCAAAATTAACCACAGGTGGGATGTGACATATGTGAAATGGGACACCCAACTCATGAGTGCCAAACCTTCACTTCCAAAGAAGAAGTTAAGGCATTGGGGAATTTCAACAGAGGCAACTACCAAGGAGGTAGCAATTTCAATTCTCTGGGACAAAGACATCCTGGGTTCTCATGGAGTTCTTCAAATGGTAGCTTGAACTCATGGCAGTAACAAATTCCTAGAAACCAGTGCAAGGACCTCCTGGCTTCCATAACCAACAAAGACAATAGTACCAGCCTCCACAACCCAACAACTCAAGTTTAGAAGATCTAATGAAGGCATTTATAAATAAACTATATGAGAAGCTTGAGACTCAAGGAATAGCTATGGGGGAGCAAGGCACAACCATTCAGAATCTAAAAATACAAATGGGGCAGCTCGAATCATTATTATCATAAAGGGTTCCGGGGACTTTGCCGTCCGACACTGAGAAGAATCCAAAAGAGACGATCAAGGTCGTGTCTCTCAGGAGTGGAAAAACATTAGCAGAGCCCATTGAAAAACCAAGGGTTGAGAAGGTGACCAACTCAACCGATATAGTAGAAGAGCAATGATGTCTCCCAAA